ATTGAAGCCCTTGTATGCTTAAAGAATTAACAAGAAAAGGTGCATGTAGTAACTGTTGTGGATTGTCTATGGGAAAAATCGATGGACTTTGTAATGAATAACTGAGGAGTGAAGACATAGTTCTAAATTGATAATCAATCAATAAATCATAATAATTTTGACGAACTTGATTAACTTTAATCTCAACTAAATTATGAACAAAATAAGAACTTAATGTAGAATAAAGAGTTTCAAAAAACAATTATGTCATGTGATAAAGAATTTTTAACTTTCTATATATTTCAATTGCAATTTTCAATTCTTCTTTACTTTGCTCACCATTGTAATTTCTTTCTTGCCAATTAATTTGTGGAAACACATCAAATAGGTAGAGTTCCAACGAGTTTTATAATAAAAAATTATCCTTCTACAATAATTAAAATGCAACTGATGAACAATTTCTTCAAATTTCATAATTCTAGAAGGTGAAACAATTCAATAAATGCCACTATTACATAATTTTTCAATTGTACCACTAATTATTTTTAATCTATCTTTAACAATCATATTCAAAATATGTACAAAACATTTCATATGAAGTACATTTCATCCATAGCATATTTTGATGACAATTTCTCTAAAATTGTGCTGAAGTATAGAAGTAGTAGTTGATAATTTACTATCAATAATCTAAGCCATCAAAGACTTAACGAGAATATTGGATAATATTTCATCAATACGAGAAGATGGTACAATGTCCAATAATTGAATTTTTAGATCCCTAAGCACTAAAATTGGTTACAATAAAGACAAACTAAACAATAAAAACTATAAAATAATTTTTTCAAGGAGATTTGTTGGATTCTTCGTGATCCTCCGATTGATCCCGACATCGAAATATTTATTCTAATATTCGGTAACTGTTCGAACGGTTATAATTCGGCCACTAAGATCGTGGGATAATCATGTAACGATTATACTCTAAAAGGCTCAATCGCCTCAGACGGATGGTTAAAATCATCCTGAATTGTTGTACAGTCCGACCGACTACTCTCCTGAATTAACATTTTTTGGACTACCTATCCACTTGATATTTGGGCACCGAGTTACTTCTTGTGGGCCTTTGGACCCAAACTCTACTTCAAATTTTGTGACTCAACAATTATTATTATTATTATTATTATGAGAGATAAAACAATAATTTTAATCGAAAAATATCTTTGTACCATGGTGTGTTTGTTTGAAGGATTTTGGTGGACTTCTACTATTTATCCCATTTTTTTTCCCCAAACAAACACACCCTTAATGTGTTTCTAAAAAGAAAAATATTTTTCAATCTTAAAAGTTGTTTTGATTTTTGAATAGAAGTCAATGCAATCGGCTACACAATGGTTTTTTAGATACACAAATCTATCCAAACGGGTTATAAGTTAATTTCTATTAATTTAAGATTTAATTAATTTACATGTATTTATATTAAATTATAGTTATATATTTGTTATATATATATATTAAAAAATATACGTCAATTAAACTAATTTAAAATATATAACTGTATAATTTGGATATATAGTTAAATTATAAGTACAATATATACATTAATATTATAACTTCAATATTCTATGGAATAAAAAGTAAAATAAATATATTTTTTTTTCAAAATATGATAGATATAATAAAACATAAGGATATAATAAGTCATTATTTTTTCTTTAATAAAATTCTCTCTCCAAAATTTTTCAAATCGAAGAAAGGGAAAAAGGAAAATTGATACAATTTGCTCTCGTTTCCTTAAAAAAAATTGAATCAAATATTATACTCCTATTTGAGTTTGTTTTTCTATATATATATATATATATATATTCTCTATTTTGTTCCATTTTATTAGGCTAAGTCATGTATTTAACTTTTTATTATTTTAGTACAATAATTGGAGTTGTATACATTTGGTCTCAGGCATCTTCAACCATCTTTGCAGTTGCTACAGTAAAAAATGCGATCTACAGTAATTTTACTCCAACCATAAACTTCAATTTTCACTCTAAAAAGTATATCCCCTATATATATTCCTCTTTTATATTATTTTATATAACTTTTCATATTTATAAATTACACCCCAACTTTAATTTTTTTTACATTAGATCCATACACATATAATTTATAAATTATTTAAAAATTATATATATAAAAATTAACATTTAAAAAATAAAATTATATATTACTTTCCAAAAACTAAAATTATATCACTTTTAAAAAATAAAATTATACATTATTTTTTTAAAAAAATAAAATTACATACAACTTTTTAAAATATAAAATTATATATCATATACTAAAAAAATTAAAATTATACAATATACCAAAAATATAAAAAATATCACAAAAATTCCACTAAAAAAAATGAAGTGGAGTAACAGTGTTACTCCAAAAATGGAGTAATACTGTGGATTCTTGCAAAAATGGAGGGGAGGGTTGGAGCCGCTCCCCCATTTTTGATACAACCCGCTGCAATGTTGGAGATAACCTCACAACTTAAAAAATTTGGTAGAAACAATTTTGTCGCTGAGTATTTTTCGTTCGGGTTAATTATACCATAATGCTTATACATGAAGACTAAAAAAAAATACTAATATTTTAATATAAAAATATAATATAAAAAAGTAATTCGAGAATATTATAAAAAATTATTAAATAATGAATAATAAAATAAATAAATAAATAGTGGCAAAATTAGACTTGCCAAATCGGATTTGAAACAGCAGTTCTGATTTAAATCGAAATCGGACACGACCCAAATCAACGGCCTAAATTAAATGGATTTGATCCAATGGCCTGCGTTCACTCTGCCCAAACTGCAGGCGGTCTTTTTTCTTTTTCCTTTTTTTTTTTTAAAAAAAAATAAATAGTTGAGATTTAACTTACAAATTAGTTATTTTATATTTTTACTAATTAAATTATAATATACATAAATCAATTCCAATCATATTTTTTAATTGATAAATGGATAAATAATTATTTTATAAATTTTAAATATTATTTATTCTTTTAGTTATTTTTGAAATGGACATTTTATAGCTATATGAGAAATAAACATCCGCTAACTCTGTACTACCAACTTCGGTAAAACAGAAAATAAATGTGATTTTGATATTTTTGATATTTGAATATATAATAACATATTTTTAATTTAAATAAAGTTATATATTTTTTTTAAAGAAAGATATTTTTAAGTGAAATAGATAAAAAAAAATACTTTTAATTATGACGAATAAAATATACTTTTCCATAATAATAAAAAGATTTATTAAATTAAAATTAGAGTTAAAATTTATTGTAAAAACTAAATAAAGAAATAAAAATAAAAAATATAAACAGAAGATTTAGATCGTAACCAACCATTCTTAAACTATAAAATATAGATAAAATAATTATTATTTGTTAAAAGGAAAGTAAAAAATTATAACTAAATAAAATTATATATTATAAATAAATTTAATTATTTTTATTTTTTTTGTAAAAGTTTAAAGATAATTATATTTTGACTGAGACTGAACACAGTCGTATTGAAGGACTCAGACGAGTGACTTGGCATTTCAGACAGTCAACACAGTCGTGTTGATTATCTTGCACTTTTGAACACGGCCGTGTTCTGAACACAACCATGTTTCTGCCCTTATTCATGACATGTTATCAACACAATCATGTTCTAGGCTATATTCACGACCATATTCTCAATACAGTCATGTTTTAGGTCATGTTCACGACCATATTTTCAATATTTATTATTATTTTCACTTCTTTCAAATCATTTGATATATATATTTATAATTCAACAAACATATTTTTTACAATTATGTCATAATATAAAAATATAATTAATTTTATATTTAAAAAAATAATTGCAAAAAAAGTATAAAAATAATACTCCCTCCTAGGTAGGTAAAAATAGTGTAATGACATTTTTGCCCATATTTTTTTATATAAAAGTAATGACGTGATTTAAAGTAAGTATATTTGTGGAAAAAAATATGGTATTTCATGAAATTGTTACTTTATAATTGGACGTGCTAAAATAAAAATATGTATACTATTTAGATGGACGGAGAGAGTATATTAATATATATTTTAAATAATCATCACTAAATATATTTTTAAAAATTTATATAAAAAATTAAAATATTATTTTGAATTTTAAAATATTATTTTAAAAATAAATTTAATTTATAATTTATAGAAATAATTAATTTATATAATGATAATTATTAAAAATATATATTAATATATTATTATTTTTATATTTTTTTCAATTATTTTTTAAAAATATTAAAAAATTGATTTTTTTATATTATTAAATAATTGTAAAATATATTTTTATTGAATATGTATATCAAATTATTTTAACCAATAAGTTGAAAATAATACTAATAAATACTCCCTCCGTCCCCTTACAAAGTTTACGTGTTTCTATTTTGGGACGTCCAATTATAAAGTTTATATTTCATTAAATACCTTACTTTTTTCCACAAATACCTTTACTTTATATCACATCGTTACTTTTACACAAAAAAGCAAAAATATCATTACACTACTTTTAACTATTCACTATAATTAAAATATTATTATTTCTTAAACACCGCGCCAAAAGTAAATGTAATCCTTGTAAATGGATGGAAGGAGTATAATTTATAATATGACTATATTAAAAATATAGTCATGAATATGACCTAAAACATGATTTGTTGAGAATATGGTCGTGAACATAAATAGCAAGGTAGCAGTGTTCAAGTCAACAAGGCCCCGTGTTCACTCCCAGTCAACTATTTTTGTATTAAAATTGATAAATTTTTATTTAAGTGAAACTAAAATCGATGAAAAATTTTGAATAAAATTAAAATTAATAATTATGATATTGTATGAGATAGAAAATAATAATAATAATTTTTGCTTTGTTTTTCTAAAGAACGGAAAATAATAATTTTTTAATTTATCACCGTATCCGTATCCGTGTATCACCGCACTCCTCCTTTTCTCTCTCTCCAACATCTATTCCAAATCCATTCTATCCCCCAAGAAAGCGCTTCCTCTGTTTCAGGCTCCAGCCCTAGATTCTCTCTTCCAGTTCTCCAGAATCTCCCTTCACACTTGATCTTCTATACCAAACCTCGCTGCCATGGTATTGATTATTTGCTCCATTTTCGCTATTTACTGATTTCATGGTTGTGTCTATTTTGATGATACGGAAATGTATTGTTTGGCTGCGACTTCCGGCGTTCGATTCGCGATATATTTGGTTTCTGAATGAGAGCGGAATTCATGATTTTGTTTGGATTTGGGGTGCTTGGTGTGGTTGGGGTTTTTCTTTGTTAATCTTATGCTTAAAAAAAAATTGGATTCTTAGATCTGATTTGTTGTAGTTTTGAATCTTGATTTACGTTTCGGATTGGTAAACTGTGATCGTAGGCCGATCTTTGAGAAACTGTGATCTGATTTGTATTAATTTTGTCGAGGATTAATTTTGGCGATCGACTAGGGGGGAGTTAGGCTCTACATGAGTTGACTAGCTACTTTGTTAATTGAATTTGTAGGTTTGATTTTGGTACTTGGCTATGCTCGAAGTTTGTATCAATGTTCTTATTGATTTTGATATGCAGTTATTCAGGCCAACATTTCTGATAGTGCAGGGGCTCACATTCTGGAATTTTACTAAGAAATAATTTCGAGATTTTTTGTTTTTGACTTCACACACACATATAGATACATTTGTATGAATGTATATATAGGTCCAACGTTGCTATGGACTACTACATTTGTGGATGTTGACAAACATTTTCTTTTTTTAGTTTGTTTTGATCCAGGATCAGGTTGCAAAGAATGAATCTTTTTTTTTTTTCTTATTGTATTTCATATTAGCTCATTTTTATGGGAGGTATCACTGGAAAGAAGCAGGTATCTTTATATTGTATAGGTACTTAGTCATGCTTTAGAATTCTATGTTTTTAATATGCCTCCGAATGGTAGCACGAGGGAAGGAAAGCTCGGAGGAAAGGAATGTTAGAGGGGATGGGTGAGTAGGTGACATTTTTTGATTTTGTTTATTAGTTATTATTTATAGTTGGTAATCGATCATGATTCATGAATCATGATTATGATTTTTCAAAATGTTTGTAGATCTCATATGTATGGGACATTATGTAAAATAATGTCGTAAGATTTAATTAGAATAATACATGTGGATAGAGAGTGGAGAGAAAAGAACAAAATTGACGTAACTCTATTTAGTCTTGATGCTCTAAATTTATCGACCAAAGATATCTTACCCTCTTATGTGATATTTCTTAAGAATTTAAATAGCATTATTTGCAAGTGTGTGTTTCTAAAGCTGTCTCACCTGTGTTAACAAATCAATATGATCTTAGTGTTTTTGTTGCTTTCCAAATATTTCTGTGTAATGGTATGCTTCAAAAGCTAGAGCTCACATTTACTGATTTGCAATGTCGTCGTATTCCCCTTGCCCACAATAGGCTACACTTTTACTTCTTAAGTGCCCCTTCTTGTGAGATTCTCCGGGGTTAGAGATGGAAATAAGACACAATTTTAGGATGTGTTTGGTTGTAGGTTTTGGGTTTGGGTTTTGAGTATTTTTGTATTAAAATAGTTGTTTGATGTGATATAATTATATGTTGATATGTATGTGAAATTAAATTCTAGGGTAATATAATAAATGAAAAAAGTAGATATTTCATTTGATGTTTTTAAGTGAGAACTTTTTTTTGAAATAGTAAAAAACCGAAAAACAAAACTCACAACCAAACACAGCATTAGTGATTCTCTCATCCCTTCTCTAAGATTATGAGATAACTTGCTTGATAATTATTTTGTTGATAATCTTAAAATTGATATCATTTTACAGTCCAAATTTGCTAGAAACTTAGGGTTGTATTTTTTGTGGGTTTTATCACAGATTTTGACTATTCAATTTTTTTTTCCTTTTAAAAATATCAAATTAAATATATATATATTTTTATATTATACTACAAATTTATTTAACATTCAAAACATTACATTTAATATTCGTTTTATATCACATCGAACAACTATTTAAATTCAATTTTTTTATTATTCTCACATTCATTGTTTTATGCACGTACAGGCAAACGCGGCATCCGGAATGGCAGTCCACGACGATTGCAAACTGAAGTTCATGGAGTTGAAAGCCAAGCGAACACATCGCTTCATAGTGTACAAAATCGAGGAGAAGCAGAAGCAGGTCATCGTGGAGAAGCTTGGCGAACCAACTGAATCCTACGAGGATTTCACCGGACACCTTCCTGCTGATGAATGCAGATATGCAGTTTACGATTTTGAATTCATGACCGAGGAGAATGTCCCCAAGAGCAGGATCTTCTTCATCGCATGGTAATTTCACTACCCCAATAAAATAACAGTGCCATTCATCTGTACTTGTTTATTTTGTTTTTTTTTTTTAATTTTTTATTTTATTTAGGTCCCCTGACACGGCAAGGGTGAGGAGCAAAATGATCTACGCGAGCTCCAAGGACAGGTTCAAGAGGGAATTGGATGGCATTCAGATCGAGCTGCAAGCGACCGATCCGAGCGAGATGGGTCTCGATGTCTTCAAAAGCCGCGCTAATTAATCTATTGTCTTCTTCAAAGGTGTTTATCATCAAAGCATGGCATGGTACCTATCTAAGCAATGGTATACTTTTTTTTTTTTTTTATCTATTTCGCAAAAAAAAAAAGTGTTATATTTCCGTATGTGCTAAATGGCTTTATTCTGTGCAAATTATTATGTGATTTTGGTCCTTTGGGGTGTGAAATTTTACTATGTTTTTATGTATTGCATGGTTGGATATATATATAGCCATGGCTGGGTTGGTTTCTTCTATACTTCAGATATGTGTTCATGACTTCTCTCTTAGGGTGGGTTTGTTCGAGGGGTTGGATTTTGAGTTGAGATTTGAATAGTAAAAATTTTGAATTTGAATAGTTGTATGATGTGATATAAATAGGCGTTGATGTGATGTTTTGAATGTAAAATTGATTTTTAGCATAATATAAAAAATAAAATTTAGGTGTTTGATTTGATGTTTTTGAGGGGGAAAAAATAGGATGAATAGTGGAAATCCAAACAAATCTCACAAACAACACACCCTAACTTGACTTTTCTAATTTCTAATTTGAATTTGAATTTGTCCCTGTTGGCCTTAACCCATTTCAAATGAATTTTGTATGTATATATTTCAAATTGAATCCCCGGGATGTAGGAGTGGAAAAAAAACACGCCGAACCGCTTAATCGAACTGAATTGAATCGAATTTTCGGTTAACCGATCAAATTCGATTCGAATACAAATATTGTGTATTTGATATTTGTTCGATTCGATTTCGGTTTTTTTATATTTTTTTCGAACCGAATATTTTTATATATTCATATTATCATATTTTAAATTTTATATTAATAATTATATTCGGTTCGGATTGTTCGGTTTTAGATTGAATATTTGAAATATTTGCAAATATTTTGATTTAATTAGAATTTTAATTATTTTTTAATATATATTTTTTTAATTTCAGTTCGGTTAGGATTATTTGCAAATATTTTCAGTTGACCGAAAATTTTGGTTAACCGAATTTTAGGTTCGGATACGGTTCGCGGTTTTGGGTATTTGTTCGGTTCGGTTCAGATATCAAATACTGCATATTTGCAAATAGTGAAATCATGCCCACCTCTCTCACTTTTTATATATATATATATAAATTATGACTAAAAATCATTTTTGATCCAATTCAATATCATAATTATCAATTTTGGTCACATTCAAATTTTTTTTATCAATTTTGATCCCATTTAAACAAAAATTTATCAATTTTAGTCCCAAATGGTTGACTGAGATTGAACACGACCGTGTTGGATGACTCACAAGGTGACTGGACGTCCCAGGCAGCCAACACGACTGTGTGTCTGTCCGTATTTTCAACACAACCATGTTCTAGGTCATGTTCACGACCATGTTCAACACAATCATGATTTAGGTTATGTTCACGACCATGTTCTCAACACAATCATGATTTAGACCATGTTCAAGATCATATTTTCAATATAATCATATTGTAGATCGTGTTTATTATTATTTTCAATTTTTTGTTAAAATTATTTGGTATATATATTTATTTTTTTTATAAATTTATTTTTTATATTAAATAAAAAAATCATATTTAAAATATAAAAAATATTTAATATTGAATTGTCAGACTGTTTAGAGCGAACAAAATATACTCCATATGTTTCAATCGGAAAGGTCATTTGTCTTTATTAGTAAATTAAAAAATAATATTATTTTATTGATGAGTGAAAGTGTGTAAGATTATATAATATTTTTACCCTTATAAATTACAAATAAAATAATACTTTATTATCCCAACTCAAAGTACTTTTTTACTATTTTCGGTTGTCTTATTCGAAAATATAATTTTCCTATTTTTAGTAAAAATAATCACATACTAATATCAAAATATCTTTAATTTTTACTTAAATTACAAATATATTATTACATATACAATTACTTTATACATAAGTTAAATGACAAAATTGTTAAAATTTCTTATATACTTTTACTAATAAATAAAATACTATTATTTCTTAATTTAACGTAAAACTCCAAAAGAATGCATTGATAATAATATTTTTTAATTATGTAAAAAATAAAGATATTTTGCTTTGTATATAAAATATTTTTATTATATTAATAAAATGATACAGTTTGAATGAGACAATAAAAAATAGTGAAAAAGATACTTTGAATTGGAACGAGAGAGTATATATTATATATATATTATATTAATATGAATATGAATATATTATATATAAGGGAGACGTTTGGTACCGAGAATAGAATTAGTACATAATGAGAATTAAATAAAACAGATAATTTAGTTGGAAAATATAAAAAAAAATGCAAATATATAAATGATCAAATAAGAATAAATGATTAATCGAACAAAAAGAGAGTTTTAACAAATAAAAATTCATTAAAAATATTTTTGGTAATTTTTTTTTAAAAAAATTATAAATTATATACGATATTTTTTAAAATCATATTTTAGTATAATTTCTTAAAATATCGTAAAAATTATATACTTTAAAAATAAATTAAATTTGTTTTTTTTTTGTAAAATTAAAATAATATAATTTTTTAAAAAATTATAAAAATTACATAGTACAAAAAAAAAATTAAAAATTAAAAAATATATATACTACAAAATCATTTCTCTCAATTTCTCTGCAGACGAGAGAGAAATGAAAATAGAGAAATATAAATGATTTATTTCTCAAGTTCCATTTCTCTGGCTCAAACAAACAAGAGAAATAATATCATTTCCATTTCTCTGGCCTCATTTCTCTGTACCAAACACAACCTTATAGTTTTTATAAGATGAAGCTTTTTGTTAGGAACACGGTATTTTAGATAAATGTAGGTTATTAAGTTATTAATAATAAGTTAAGATAATATTTTATTATTTTTTTTATATGTGTAATGTTGTTGGTATTTTAAATATTTTTAGAATTATATCTCAATAAAATATATGCAATATGAATATTATTTTGTAGACAATAAAATTTTATATAATACAAATGAATAAAAAAATTTATTTATTTATTTATCATTATCATAAATTAGTTTTATAAAAAATGAGGAGTTTTAAAGGTAGATAAAAAATATTTGTTAATTGAGGAGAGAGGTAGAAATAACGGGGTTTTGAGTGGGTCCTATGTGTAAGATGTTAAAAGTTTAATTAAATTGATTTATATTTGTTAAGTATGTTTAAGATTGATAAAGTTACCAAAAATGAAAATGAGTCATCTTTTGTGGTAGGTACGAAAAAGAAAATTGGGTCATTTGTGGCGGGGACGAATGGAGTAATATTTATAAATGTTGGTTGACTTCCATTTGTAAATAAATAAATAAATAATGTGTATTCCTAGCAACTTAAATTTTTAGATGATCGGTTATCTACATAATCTAACATAGTATAAGAGCCAACACATCTCAACTACGGGTGACAAAATTAAACCCGACCCAACAAACCGAATCTGTTCGACTTGAAATTTTTCAGGTTCGAATTTGGGTATTTCGGGTTTACAAAAAAATTGGGTCGACTTGAACCCAAAGCGAAAAAAATTTGTACGTGTTTCGGTACCTGATAACCCAAAATACAAAATAGATCAGGTTTCAGGTTTCGGATTAACTTGAAATTATTTATTATTATTATTTTAATTTATAATATTTATATTATTTTAAATGAATTTTTTCTAAGTTAATTTATTTATTTTTTAAGTTTTCGGGTCAGTCTCGTATCGGGTTTGTTCAGGTTTTGAGTGACCTGAAACTAATTCATGTTAACCTGAACGTGGTCTAAAAGAATTCGTGTCGTGTTCGGTCTAGGGTTTCAGATCAAATTTTGGGTTCGATTCGGGTTATGGTTGACAATGTTTTATTACCCTATAGTTCAATCCAACACAAACACGACCCGAAAATACAAACACGACCCGAAAATACGAATAAACAACTCTATCCCTAATAATTTAATTTTTTAGATGAATCAATCATTAATATCATCTAACAAACTCTACAGGATGATTCTAACTAAAAAATCTAAACCTCCAAACAAACACGTCATAACTGTATTTTTCTATTAAATAAAAAAAAAACCAAACCTTTTGTTTTACCTTATTTGTATTCCCTATATGCCATTTAATTGTATTTATTTTTATAATAAATAATAATACTTTTTTCGTCCCATAATAAATTATTATTATTTTTTTTATTTTTATTTTAGTTTATCCTATAATAAAGTATCTATTTTTTTTAGTATACCTTTATAATTTATAATATATTACTCAAATGCTATTACTTTTATATTATACAATATTAATAATGTTATTTTAGTAATTTCTATTTTATTTCTATTAAATTCTAATATAATACTAATATTTTTAAAATTCTGTGTAAAAAATAAACGAATATCTAATTATGGAACGAAAGAAGTAATAAAATTCCGTTGAGTTCCGAGTTCATATTCATTCATTCATATGGTTCGGATAGACTATTGTATTTAGTTACATGACACGCGTTATGGTAACTTTCTTAGGACACCACGTGTATTAAACATTTTAGTTAGTTAATGCCACTTTGCTTCATTGTCACGCCACCCAATCGACCTTATAATATTATATATATAGTCACTCCTACGAAACTATTACGGTGGATACCAACATTTAGATAAAATATAATTAGTAATTAATTAAAAATAAAAGTAAATTATTTTTTTAGTTCTGTAACTGAATCTTTTTATTATTTTAGTCATGTAAGTGGAGTCTGTCGCAAACTAGTCCCATAAATAAAAAATTTTCGTTGTTTTAGTCCTCCGGCATCGGAGACGCCCGCGTGGCTCGCCGGAGGTGACGTGTCTGCCCAGGTGTCCCGCCAGGTCAGCAACACATGGCGGATTTTATTTTTTTAATTTTTTAAAATTGGATCAAATAAAAAAAAAAAAATACAAATAAAATTAAAAATAAATTAAAACTAAGTTTTAAAAAAAATGAGAAAAATGAAAAATAAAAATAAGAAATCCACGTGTCCACGTCACCTCCAGCGAGCCACGCGGGCATCTCCGGCGCCGGAGGACTAAAACAACAAAAAATTTTCACTTATGGGACTAGTTTGCGACAAACTCCACTTACGGGACTAAAATGATAAGGGAGTCGGGACTTAAAAAAACAGTTTACCCTTAAAAAATAGTTATTATATAATAAAAATAATTATAGATTAAGATTGAGATAATTAAATAGTTTAATTAAATTAAAAAAATTATAAATTATAAATTTTTAAATGTGATTAAAATGTATAATCATATTTCCAAAAAAAAAATAACAAATTATATGCTACATACGAAAATAGAAAATAGTGACAAATTAAGTGGGACTGGGGGAGTATGATATAGTGTAAATCCGCAGACAAATAAGATTTTAAGCCGTCGAAAATTTAGGCTTTGTTTACGCAACACATTTTCACTCATTTGACATTATTCAATTTTTTTAAAAAATATGACATCAAGTACATTTTTTCTTTCTCAAAACATCAAATCAAATACTAAAATATTTACTTTTTCTAAACTTTTAAAATTTTAAAAACTTCTATCTAAAGAAAACCTAATTTATGATTTTATGATCAAAATTTATCCTATAATGTATGATTATCTTTTACTAGACTTTTAATTTTAGTTAATCAATTTACTGCTTTTAAATAATATATTTTGGTTATAATTTTATACACACATTTTCAAAATTATATAAGTTTTGTTCTTTCTATATTTTTTCAGGCCTTTTTTTTTTTAAAAAAAATTAATACATTATACACATTTATCATTTTAGTTCCGTAAGTGGAGCCTGTCGCAAATTAGTTTCATAAGTGAAACATTTTCGCTGTTTTAGTCCTCCGGCGCCGGAGACGCCCGCGTGACTCGCCGAAGGTGACGTGTCCGCCATGTGTCCCGCCGGGTCAGCGACACCTGTCGGTCACGTGAATTATTTTTTTTCATTTTTTTAATTGGACCAAATAAAAAAAGTACAAATAAGATTAAAAATAAATTTTAAAAAAAATTTAAAAAAATAAAAAATAATAAAAATCCACGTGTCCGCCAGGTGTGCGACACCTGGTGGACACATCACCTCCGGCGAGCCACGCGGGCATCTTCGGTGCCAGAGGACTAAAATAGCGAAAATTTTTCACTTATGGGACTAGTTTGCGACAGGCTCCACTCATAGGACTAAAATGATAAAAGAGTCCAATTACGAAACTAAAAAACAGTTTACCTTTTTTTTTTTTTTTTTTTTTTTATTAATAATCTCACAAAACATACCATAACTTATTTTTCTATTCTACCAAACAAATAAAAATAAAAATAATAATAATAATAAATAAAAATATATTAGGATTCCCTTTATATTGATTTTTTATGGGAGTTTTTGGCTTTTGTTTGTGAAAAAATATTTTATACTTTGATATTTATTCAAAAACAAAAGCAATTTTTAGAGTTTAAAAATATTTCTCTAAAAGCACATTAGAGTAGTTTTTGAAAAAAATAATAAATATAATATAAAAATAATTAATTTATATACTATATTAAAAAATCAAAATTTAAAGATACAATTGTATTTTTAATTTTAATTTATATGTTATATTTACTATAATTTGAAATAATTAAATATTAATTTAAAAACATATAAATTTTTAATTAAATTAGACAATTAAAATTTATTAAAAAAAATCTAAAATAAATGGTAAGGTACAATTAATTTAAAATTAAAATTTAATTTAATTTTAATATTATAATTAAATTAAAATTTTAAAATATAGATTACCAAATTTAATAAATGAAGTATAATTTTAATAATATTAAATAATTTCATATTTTTAAATGTAAGGTTTGGTCCCTTGTGTTTTTTTACACCAAAAATATCTGGTTTCTACTATTTAGACTCTATGTTCCCGAAAAAAATATATTTTCTCTTTCACAAAATATCACATCATATATTATTTTAATGTCAAAATCAAATCAAATTTTTTTAAATCTTATCAAAACAAACAAATCCTTAGGGTCTGTATCTGTATCTCCAGTCCGATTTGGCAAAACTTGTAAGGTCGTGCAAAAGTCCAACTAATTAATTATTTGATCATTAAAATAATTATATTTTGGGAAAAATTAATTTTGGTCAAAATATAACCAAAATTTATCAATTTTGATCTCAATATAAAACACTCATCAATTTTGGTCGCAATATAACAAAATTTATCAATTTTGGTCCCAATATAAAAAATTCATCAATTTTAGTCCCAATATAAACAATTTCAATCAATTTTGATTCCACCGTTAAAAAACTAACGAAAATTGCCGACATGGACATGATGGAGGTGACGTAGCAGTTGACTTGGAAAGTATACGGCTATATTGTTACATGGCCATGTTGTTACACAAATATTAAAATTGTGATAAAATCCTACCCAAACATATCATAAATAACATATTCCCTCCGTCCGTCCCAGAACTATAGTCTGGGTTGGGTTTGACACGAGATTTAAGGAATATTGATATTATATTGATACTGGGTAAAAAAATACTAGTAAAAGACTTTTTTGTCCTTGTAAGTGTATTAGTGTAAAAAGTAGTGGCAATTGTGTAATAATAATGAAAAAGTAAGGATAGTTTTATAGGGATATGATTATTTATGGAAATGAAACTATTGTTTTGGGACGAACAAAAATGGTAAACAGAACTATTGTATTGAGACGGAGGGAGTATGATATATAGACTAACATCACAGATAATGGAGCGGTATGGTGCTGATTTAGAAAATTCAGGATCATAATATATATAAACAACACATAATTTTATTATATACAATACATGTTGTATAGTAAAGACATGTGTTATTGATTTATAATTATAATTATGTTGTATAATAGTACGTGGTGTGGTTGTATAAGACTATAACATGTGTTGTATTTGTATTATATGAGTGCATACAGTGTGCGCTGACTGTAGTAACACTGTGTGTAGTCTGCGATGTGTTGTCAGTAGAGCTGACAAAAACTGACCCGACACGAAATAATTGGGTTTGGGTCAAAGATTTCAACTCGATTATGTATACGGGTTGACACGAACCCGACACGATAATAAACGGTCGGGTTAGGGTTGAGGCTCTCAAGTCGAACCCAATTATAATATATTAATATTGATTATGAAAAAGTAGGGATAGTTTTATAGTGATATGATTATTTATGAAAATAAGACTATTGTTCTTGGGACGGACAAAAATGGTAAACAAGACTATTGTATTGAAACAGACGGAGTAATACATAACATAAAGATAAAATAACACATAAATTATATTAATATAATACAAATACATGACTGTCAGGACAATTTATAATTAATTCCAGCTGATGAAATGATTCATACAAAAGTAATTACACATTTTTAATTTAAAATATGTGATCCTATATTAAATAAAAAATTATATATGTTTATATATTTTTATATATGCTCGATAGGGCGAGTCTTCCTTTAGAATGGTCATATTTAGACTCTTTGGGTATGGCATAATATATATATATATATATATATTTTTAAATGAATATTTTGTTAATGATATTTTTAAAATTTTAATTAATAATAATAATAAATACTTATTGCAAATAATTATTTAATAAATAGTACTCCCTCCGTCCCAAATATGGTAAAATATTTGGTTTTAGTATGAGTTTTTAGGTGGGTATTATTAAGTAGGATAATTTAGAAATTAGGTGATGTGATGGAGAGAGAAATATATATTTTATTTTTTTTATTTGGATGATGTAAAGGGATAAAGTGTGGGGTAGAAATTAAGTGTAATTAATTATTTCCTATTTTGAAAATATTGCAGGTTATTTAGGACGTAAAAAAAGAAATGTTGCAGGGTGTTTGGGAGGAACGGAGGGAGTAATATTTAAATGCTAAAATTTTCAATATACTAAAAAAAAAAGATACATTTAGCTGATGAATTTTTTTTTTTTTTTAATTATAATATTCTATAAAAAAACTACTCCCTTCGTCTCCATTTGCTGAATCTACCTTTCTATTTCGGTATGTTTCACTTACTCTGTGACTTTTATTTTTTGAAAAATTATTATATATTTTAATTTTATTTTAAAATAGTTAATTTAAATTTTTTTATTTTAATTATATTAGTTATCTTAATTTTAATTTAAAATTATTTTTATTAAATAATAATCATTTTCATTGGTACATTCTTAATTATTTACTATTATTATATTTCTCCTAAATTTTCGTATCCATAATAAAAGGTACACTTGGAAGGGAGTATATTATTATTAAAATCTATGAATATAATATTTTTTATTCAAAATTTTATGACAAAATATTTATCCAAAATTATAAATAAAATATTTTTAATAAAAAACAATAATGTAATAGTAATACTATATCAAACAACGAACCAAATAATAATGGTGGTAGTTAATTATTACTTGGAAGTTTTTACAAGAAAGAATAAAGGGAAGGGAAGGGAGGAGGTAATCCGTAATGGTACCATTTATTAACGAGGATGAAGACGAGAGTCGGATAAATACAATCATTTTCATTCTCATGCTGTCAAATTTTGTGTTGGTGGGTGGGAGCTCTGTGTCGGCACTGTAAACCGCATTATTAGCCAGGAAGGAAGGAGGAGGAAGACGGTGCGGCGAATTCCCCGTTTCTGATGATTTTCCTGCGATTCCGATGGGAAGAATGCCACTGGTGTCAACGGCTCGCGGTTCCGCTTACCTAAGCGCACTCGCTGTCGAGATTGAGAAGAAGCTTCAGCGTGTATGCGATATATATATATATATGTATATGTTCGTCTGGATGTATTATGCGTGTTTTGGTTTTAATTGTCGGTGTTTGATTGCAGGCGTTGGCTTCGGCGTCGCAGCGGAGGAATTTGTTGCAGGAGTTGTTTGCCGATGTGGCCTTGGAAATAGATGATCGCGCGAGAGGTGAGAGATGCCTTTAATTATTTGTGTTTCAGATTTTGTGCGTTTTCGGGAGCGGTTTGGGTAAATGCATAGAGATTGCATGCCGATTCGGCGGTTTGGGATGGAGATGGGAATGGAAATAAATTTATTTAGGGTTGTAGTTGATAATTTTATAGTTGCAAATTGATAATTTTGGAAATTATATTGGTTCTTTTGCGTTCTAAACTGCATCTGATGTCAATAGTTTTGTGTTTTTAATGCTTGTTGAAAAATTGGAAATCTAATCTAAGAATTCTAGATCAATCGATGATGGTTTATTGCTCAGAAATTGGATTGGATGGTTGCTCATGACTAGAAAATTGAATTTTGGTTTATTCCCCCTGCAGTTTTTTTTCTGTATCTGGTGTGTGAAAAGGTATTTTTATTTCTTAATATGCGTAATTGGGCAAGATACCTTGCTGCTCCCTCGGTTATATTTCGTTGTGCTGGGTGCCCCATAGTATCAGTTTTCTTACTGAATTGGGATCAGACGTTACGTGGGGGCATTTTAAACATTTTGATCTGGAACAAAACTAATTAAATCATTCACGTGATAATTGTCTTCAAGATTCTTCCTTAGTCAGGACCCTGATTATCTGATTTATGGGCTATTGGGGAATCCATTTAAATACTGAAACTGGATTAGACGCAGACGTGGAGTAATCCTCTTAGATGTTTAAGTGTTTAAGGGAATATTGGAATTGCTAGAGATACTGAAGTTGATGGTTTCCATAACAAGAGTGGTAGGGTCACAGTTTTGCTACCAGGTCTTCATTCCCTAAGTACTTAACCTAAACAAGGGTTTAGCTAAGTTAGTTTCACATGCGTGAGCTTGCCGAATTATACAATTGCCCTATATGATTCTCAAGTTTCAGTAGAAGCCAATTAAAAGTAGTACAGAGAGTTGGATCCAAATTATGTGCTGTTGGGTAGCGTCTGAGGCAACAGCGCTGAAGTCAGCTTCATCTGGCACATAGTGACAATCAAAAGAGCATTTTGAAATTAGAGATCTTTGAATCACATTCATTGCTTTAATACATCTGCTAGTAAGAGAAGGTTTATACAAACTTTTCCATCATGATGCAACAATTTTGACAGAAACAATGATATGATCATAAGGCAGAGAGGCATAGACTGCAAATCGTTGCCTTGTCTTCGAAGGGATAATGAAAGGAATGACATTCTTAAACTGTAAAATTGAGCTTAATATAATTGTAATCGTAATTTTGGCTTTAGCTGAAATTCTCCTATATCTATTTTCAGATAATTTTAGTGTAGAACTGATATACGACTTGACTATGACATTGTGTTTATATTATTTCAAAGCGTGGATATTTTCTTACAAATTTTTAATTTGTACTTTCTTGTCCATAACTTTAAAAGGTAGTGAAATCCCTTCCATATCAATAATGCACAATCAGTAATATATAAAAATTTGTGGTTGCCACAAATTTAGAACATTAGTTTTCTGAAAGGTATTGAGATTTAAAATTACTATTTTTTCTCAGGTTTCATAGTCTTGTTATTTGTTGTAATTGACTTCCTCCTTAGACCAATAGGATGGGATCAGTATTTGTGACCTTTTTGATATATGGTTCTTTACACTTTACTGCTTGTCTGCTAATATATAAATACAATTTTTTTTTTCTTTTTTCTCAGCTAGCAATAACAGGAACGAAGTATGTCTTAGGTTTTACTTCATTCTCAAAGAGAAGGAATCGACAAATTGTTATTTTCATTGTCCTTACCATAGTTTTTATGAAAAAGAAAGACTGAAACTTGGAATCTGATGTGAAAAACTGCCAGATGAGATGGAAATATGTGTAGGTAGTAATATCTAATGCACTCCTGTAGAAACATATGTAGTGGAACACTTTTAATCTGTTCATGGTGGTGTTTTCTTTTTCTTGTTAACATTTTTATTATATAACTTTTAGTTCAATAAAGATTGTGTTTAGCGGTTCTGTTATGCAACACACTGAGCTGCAATTTATTCAAAACAGAAATTATTCTTGGCGAAGAAGGTGCAATTTCGGTGGAAGATGATGGCTATGGGGGCCCCATATGCTTTTACGATGTGCTTGCTAACCATTTTGTCAGCGTACCCCAAGATGGCCAATCAATACTTAATCTGATTGTACAACTTTGGAGCCAGTCATTTGCATCTAATATATTTGCTCTCTTGTTCCACAAATGGGTACAAACTTATGGAGGTCTTTTTTAATTATGTTGATTTATCTGTGTAGAATTGTGATCCTACTATTACTGAACTTTTATATAAGAAATTGCTTTCACTTTACTTTTTGTGAAATACCATCTTCAGATTCCAACTTCATTTTATAATCACCTCTTGTTCCAATGTGATGTTTTCAATGAATCTTGCTGATATTATGACACCTTCAATTTTGCAGCTGTTTGAGGTTCAACTTGATAATCCTGAGGTCTTACTTCGTTACTCATCTGCTCTTGTCCAAGGTGCTACAAATGTTTTCTGGTAAGGTGCTTTAGCCCTTGTAAAGACTTGCAGGTGTTTGATGTGATGTTTTGTATGTAAAATTAAATTTTTAGTATAATATATAAAACAAAATATAAATATTCGATCTGATGTTTTTTGGGAAAAGTTTTTGGTGGAACAGTAGAAATCTTCTAAAATTTTCCACACACATACAACCTTAACCTTTTCTACAAGGGAAATTGCATATCCTAAAACACTCTGAAGAAAATGAAGAATAAAAACCGCTATCTTCTTTTCTAAAACATTGTCCTAGTCTATTAGTGTCATCATCTCTTCACTTGTTCCTTAAAAACAATAAAAAGATTTGAAATTTTGTTTTTGCCGATTCCAGTTTTTCACTAAATTTTCTTTTACATTAAAATTTTAAAGCCAAACATCACTTACACTTTTGAATTTCTTTAATTTATTTTCCTCTTGGTTTTTTATTTGGTTCCAATTGTATCAATATCAAGCAGGATGGATATAAGAGAAAAAAAAACAGCATACACGAGACATAGTAAACTTTACTAACGAAAAAGATGGTTAAAAAATAATAGTAGTAGACCAATGAAAATACTTTAACATCATCTCGCAACTACCACAAAATTACATTGTTGTTGCATAAACATAGAAAAAGGATTTGTGATTGTCAGTCTGCCCACTCTTTAGGGTTCGGGCTGGGGATGATAGCAAACATGATTGGTCCTTCTATTTTCTTTTCATGGTTCATCTTTTAATGATGGCTGATGTTGAAACATTAAATGATGTTTCTCAAAAGATATGTAGAGGTATGATAAGTTTGATCTGTAACATCCAGTTAAAAATAGGGTGTCCATGCAGTCCTCAGCTCATGGCAAGAAAAGGAAAATTAAGAAAAGACTTAGGCAATCAATCTAAGACTATTTTGGCTGAAGTCTTGCATAGCATAGCGTAATTCTTATGGGAAAAGAAAGAACGAATACAAGGTGTTTATCATTATTATTCATGTGAACTTGCCCAGGATTGACATCCAATCAAATGCAAGGCGATTCCAAAGTCTATTTCAGGTAGATACCTTCTTCTACAGCTTATTTTCTGCTATTAAACTTTCAGACACTTCTGTAAATACACAGTTATTGCGTTACCCATTTTTGTGGGTGTAGTATCTCCTGGAAGAGGTTGCTTTATATCCTGAGAGATTGAAGAAGATCCCTTTACAGGTATAGCATATGTGTTGTCCATAATCATTGCATTCCTCTCCTCTGACAATAAGCTTGTCCTAATTGTTGTATTTCACCGTAACTTACTGTTTTCTGATTTTTGTTTTAGGCTCAGCGCGACCTGTTCCTTCTTCTATCAAGATTCATTTTTTTCTACAACTTAGGTTGAGCTTTCTCTCTCTCTTTCTCTCAAACTCTGCATATATATATATAAATACTTCCCTTCCCTGCTCACACTTTAACTTTGTCATCATCTTAATAAGATTTCATTCCTTTCGGACAGTTGACAAGCTTGAAAGTTTTTTGAAGCAGTTTCCTGATTTCCCAAATGCGTTCTTGATTGGGGGTGCCTCAGACATACTTGTAACTGAACTAGCTGATCAGGTAAAAATTGTGATCCTAGCCCCTTCATCAAGAAGGATGTGAGATTAAGCAGAACCCTCCTTAGTTGATGCGTGACATTTATCTTGATCATGCTCACTAACTCGTAAATTATTTCTTGCTAACTCCTGCTTTTTCCAGCTTCAAAAATTGAAGGTGGAGCCTGTACTTCTACATTACCTTTCTCAGATAAAGGTTCTTCAAGGCACGCACTCCTCATATGCTTTCCCAGTATAAAAAATTTTAATCAAATATGTAAGATATGTTAAAATCATGAGGCATGAGTTTTGATACTTGAATTCATCAATAATATTTGCAGGTCTGGAGCTTAGAATGACAACTAGTACAAGGCTGAAAACCTGTTTGTATAGCTTCACTTCTCCAGGTGGTCCAATGTATCCAACAAGAGCAGTTCGTCATGCAGCATGGGATGCCTTGGATTATCTTTTCCCTGTAAGTGATTGGAAATCTTGCTAGTTAGCAATGCATACAGACTGATTATTGCTCGTTAAATCTTTGGTGCATCATAATTCCATTGCTTCTTCCAGTTTGATGGTAAAATGAATTTGAAAATGCTGATTTCCTCCGGAAATTGGTGTTACTAGTCTTTACATAATGGAAAGGGTTACATTGAATGGCTGCTAAGATTATAAATAAGTTTACTGTGCTGAACAGATTCACTTTGATAGGATGAGGTTTGTCTAAATATCCTCTTTTGGATTAGTTAAGATCTTCAATTATAGGATTGTTTGGGGTGAGTTTTGTTGGACAGTGGATTAAAGAGGTTACTACTGCCTCATCATGAATTATATATTTCACCCAATCCTTGTACCACATTCAGTATTTTGAAGTCATGATGGCCTTTTCCATGCACATACACAAACTCGTGATTTCTTGCTAGGAATTAAAAGGGAGGATAGCGAGAAAGAATCTTTGATTTTGCGAGGAAGGGAGTGTCTAAATAAAGCCCCAAAGCATACTTATCTGAGATGCATCCTTGTCTTTTACCTTCAAATAATCAAATGAAAGTTAGGGTGTGTTTACTTGTGAGGTTTTAGTTTTGGGTTTTGATTTTGAATAGTAAAATTTTGAATTGAAATAGTTGTTTGATGTGATATAAATATGTGTTGATGTGATGTTTTGAATGCAAAATTATATTTTAGTGTAATAAAATAAATAAAAATTAGGTGTTTGATTTGATGTTTTTGGAGGGAGAAAAAAGTTGGAATAGTAAAATCAGATGTAAAACCTGACAGTAAACACACCCTTAATAAGTTATGCATCCATTCCAATGATAATAAATAGCCTACACATCTTTTGATACGTCTAATTCATGTGATTTCAAGTCTATTTGAATTTTAATTCCTTAAAAGCATTTTTGGTTTAAAGATTTCTTAGAGGAAATGGAAAGATATTTTTAAAATAGAAAAATAAGTGTTTGGTTTAGGGGGAATTCCTAGTAAAAGCAAATATAATGGAAATGTAGCTCAAGAGCGGAAATTACTGTTCCTTGCCACTTTTCTCATTTTATAGAATTTTCTTTAATACTCCACTCACCTAAATTAATTTCATCCCTTCATAAACATACACATACTTTAATCATTCGGGCTGAATCTCATTCGTTAAGTTGTCAGGTTTTATTTTCATTTGTTTTGTGGGTGAAATATAGCGTGTAGCGTTTTGTATTAATTTTTTGTTTGTTTATTTATTTATTTGTGTATTTCCTCGAAATTGATAATGTGGAAAAAAGTACTCCGCAATTAATCTTTAGGGTATGAATGTAGGATATATTGCTTTTGCTTATTGAGTTTGGATGTACTATGAGGGGATAGCACCATTTGGTTATGGATATTGGAGAGGTCTAGAAATGACCATGCTAAAAAAATATTATAGATGTTTTATTTGTGAGGTAAATAATAGAAAAAAGGATAGTTCTATTGATAGTCTAGTGTAACATCTATCTGTTTGTTACATAATATAAAAATTAAAAACTTATTTTATTTTACTGATCTCCTCCTTAGCAAATCCTCAAAACCAAACAAACAGGTATGTTTGCATCCTTTAATGTTTTCCTTTCCTTTTCACTACTATTACTTGACAATTTCTAGAACTAGGATAAAAGTTAGCATTCCTGTCTTATCGGAGATTTGTAAACTAAGATGGAGTTCTTGTTCTGTTCTAGGTTATTTGTTTTGGTGATAAAACCTTACCAGTTTGTATTATTACTTACAAATAATAAAATGTCATCATAGTGCATGTTTAGGTTAGAATTTGTGAATTATAAGATTAGGCTTTACGGGTCGAATCCTCTATACTATGATGTTGTGGGTGGTGGTTTCAGGTTGGGACATACCCGCGGCATGTAATAAGTCTCTTTTTCCGGTTGCTGTATCCATGGTACTGGCCGTCTTCTTGTTGGAATTTCGTAGTTGCGTGCATACAAGCTGTCTTATATTCGGTGCTGCGGGTAATATTTTCTGGTTGGGAAAATCTCACAAGATCGAAACAACCATAACTTTACTTTTTAAGCTCTGTGCTTTGTTGGCTTGGCTTTTTCAGTTAGGAAACTATTGAAATTTGTCTATGTTGTTTGGGTGAGTCATTGAATTTGTTGTTGTATTCTGTACTATTTGTTAGGGTTATTCTAAACCAAAACAAGAACATATACATATAAACATATTCATGTAAAAGTTTTCTTACACTATATTTACTTTGTTATTTTATTATTATTATTATTATTATTATTATATTTTTTTCGTGGGGGGTGGGGTTGGTTTAAGATTTGGGTTTTTTATTCTTTGCATTATTATAAAGTGAAAAAATGCAAAATGTTTAAAGATTAGGGTGAGTTTTTTTTGGCGTTTTGGAAAGTTCTAAAAATGGTAAAAAGTTTGATTCGTTGTATTTTGTTAAAAGAAATAGATATTGATGTGATTTTGAAAGAAAGAATAAGATGAAATAATGCTAAAATATTTATAAGTATACTATTTCTCCAAAAGTATATGTAAACTATTATTTCAATTATGTGTAATGTTTTTTTAAGTTTGAATTTTGTTTATTTGAAGTTTTATTTTATTATTCTTATTATACAATATTGTGTAATTTTTATGATTTTATATAAATATTTTCTCCATTTCTGAAGATTTTATTTTTTATTTTTTATTTTGATTTTAAGTATAAAAAGTAAATATATCTATATAATAATAATAATAATAATAATAATAATAAAAGAATGAGAATAATTTTAGAATAATATGATTATTTATGATAACAAGATTGTTCAATCTTTTTGGAATTAAGAAGTACTCCTCTTCCATCGTCTCTGATGTCACTTTTATATTTTGTGTCATTGTATTTAACAATAAAATATAATTTTAAAATAATATGATTATTTATAAGACACTGATAAAAGTACTTTTGTAATTTTTTTTTTTTAATTTATACTATTTTTAATATAATTATTAATATTCAAAGATCAACATGCGAGACCCTTAAAACCTGACAGATGTAGTACTATTTATTCTTATAAAATATTTTATTCAAATAACTCTTAAGCTAAAACAAAAATGCAGATCAAAATCCATTTTCAGATATTGAAATTCATGGGATCCTAAACCATTTTATACTTCTTCAGTCTCTTATTTATTTATCAGTTTGTTCTTTACACGGATTTTTAAAAATATTAATATTATATTGAGGGGTGTGGTATGAAAAAAAGTAGAAAATACTAAAATATTTTTATTAATATTGTATAATATAAATGTAATGACATTTGTGTAATATATTACAAATGTAAGTGTATTTTTAATATTAGTAGAAAATACCGTTACTAAAAAATGAATATTTTGTTATGAGACGAACCGAAATAGAAAAATAAATATATTGTTAATGGAAAGACAGAAGTATTTTTTTGGAAAGCCTTGTCCATCCTTTTCAATTCATGTTTTAGGATTCACTAATTTTTCTTTTTCATCAAATATAACAAATTAAATATTTATTATTTTATTTTTCTTATATTAAAAATAATTCTATATTAAAAATATTAGATTAATATATCTTTATTATATTATATTATATAAAATAATTATTTCAATTTAAAAATTTTATTATTCAAAATTAAAATTTATCTCTCAAACCTACACAAATACTACAAAAATGTAACACTTGTTATATAATAAATAGTAAATAATATATTAGGTGGTATATATAAGCATATATGTATGTGTGTGTACAGGTGTGTGTTTATATATATATATATTCTTTTATTTTTTGCCAGAGACATTCGGAATTTTGTCTCTGATGATACTTCTTTTAGTTAGGGATAGTACTTGAGATAATTACTCGATTCATTTTGATATTGAAAATCAGATTTTTAAGATTGACAACGATCATTCTTTTTTGAGTGAATTCAAAACGTTCTTTTTTCGAATAATCGAAATTCTAGTTATAAGAATAATGGATCAAATCAGGAGGCGGTGTAGCGTGAAATTTAAATGCATCTACACTTCCGTAGCCACTGCGTAGAGGATATGTAATTGCTACGTACATAAAAACACTTAAGTTTATAACAAATTCACCATTTGTCGATTCAATTTTTATGTATAATGAAAGAAAAATATAATTTTAGTATGGTAAATGATAATTTTTATTATTTGAAGCATACTCCTTTGATCTCATGAAATTAGTTTTTATTTATTTTTTATTTTTACATATATATTGAGAAATGTTGTGTTATGCAATCAATTAATTTGATTAGATGATGTAATGTTTGTAATAAAGTATTATTTTAAATATTTTTTTGTTTAATGAAATAATAAAATAAATGTTAAAATATTTTTTTAATATTGAATATTTTATGTACTGATATTTATTTATTTTTTTAGAAAAAGTTATTGTATTGATTGTAAATCAACATGTGCAATTAGATAATAAAAAAATAAATTAACTTTAATAATTTAAATATAATTAACACAATAAAAAAATTGTAATTATAATTTTTTTTTAAAAAAAATAAACAATATATCAAGTTTCTTGAATTTGGTTATTAGTAGGAATGATTCGTTATGATATATTAACATTTGTATCGCATATTGTATACCGAATCAAAATTTTTGATTTGGTGTTTTACCATATCTGTAATTTGGTATACCAAATTTATGGATGAAAAAAATACCGAATTACCGAAATAGTTAATTTTCGATACGATATGATACCATACCAAACTTTTTCGATATTGTAACAACATATAATTTGACATGTATACAATATTTTTTGTCTGGTATTGATAAATAGACCAAAAAATTTGGTATGTTATAGAATATAATCCGATATTTCTGGTATACCAAATTTACGCATGAAAAAAATACCGAATTACCGAAATAGCTAATTTTCGGTATGATATGATACCATACCGAACTTTTTCTTTCGATATTATAACAATATACAATTTGACATGTATACCGAATTTTTTATCCGGTATCGATAATAAACTAAAAAAATTGATATGTTTTAATATAATTCGATATTTCTGGTGTACATACCGTATCGAACAATTTCTAACCGAATTGCATATATGATACTCAAATATAATATTTTATGCCAAAATACTAAAATGAAACATAATTTTATAATTTTACACCTTCATGATTTTTTTTTTTTTTTTTTTAACAACAAGCGTTACAAAAAGATCTATTTATATGATATTAAATATTTATTTTAATTTTTATTATTCAAATTCTAACCCAATTTTTATTCAAATTCTAACCCAATTTTTAAATTTACAATCAAATAAACAGAGTTAGGGATATTAGTAATTTAATTAAATATAATTAAATATAATTTTAATTATTATTTACTAATTATTTGTATATCACAAAAGTAGACTAATTTCGTATGATAGACTAAAAAAGTAAACTAATTTAATAGGACAAAAAGAGTAATATTCATAACTATTGTAAATTTTAAATTTTATTAAATATATTTATTAATTAGATCAATAATAACTATATAATATTAATGATAATCTATTAACTATAGCAATTAATATAAATATTTTAAAAAAAGAAAATTAAAAAAATAATTAATAAGATATAGTTACTTGAAGCCCACTGAACTCAAATATGTAATATATAAATTAGGGCCGAGCCATTGATTATTCACTTACAAGGATTTTATTTTCTTCCAATTATTTTTTTCAATAAGTTTTTCCAAAAAAATTAATACACAACACATATTCATTATTTTTATATTATTTACATAATTCCCTGTACCTAGCATAAAAAATTTTCTTTCCACCAATCTTACAAAACAAACATACCCTTTTTATTATTATTATTATTTTTATGATGTGAAAAAAACCAGCAAATGCTATCCTAGCCGATCACAAATTCATCCTACACCATCTCGGAAAAAAAAAAAAAAAAAAAAAAAGGAAAGGAAAAAAGAACAGAAAACAAATCTAGCGGTTGAATTCAAATATTTCTTCTGCCAATTCTTGCCACAAATGTGTTGTGGTTAAAATATTTCACATTTCATCTACACTCAAAGCTCCTCCTCTTGTAAATTACACAAACACTAAACAGATATGAACAAAATGACAGACAAACAAACAACACTTAGTATTATATAGCAACAACTCATGATCATGTGTACACAAGAATTTCCAAAAAAAATAAAAAAAATACCATAACAAAATCTATCAACATCCATAAAATCCATTCATGGATTTCTTTCAATCTTTTCAAGCACTTGCTTTGATCTATTCTCTGCAAAGTGCAGATTTCTTTCGATTTCGATCCTTAAAAGTTTCATAATGAAAGCCAAGAAGCTATATATCAAACATCACAATAATTGGCAAAATTGCCGCGCTCGAAGGTACGTACCTATCTTGGTTACTCATCAATGGAGTCTTTTTTCGACTTTCCCATCGATCAAGGTAATAATCAGACACCAAGGGGGCTTAAATTAATGCCAAACGAATCAGTAAGGATTTTAGACTTCACAAAAATCACTCGGCATCTAAAGCTAAGAAAACGCCCAAACTACAGCCATAAAGATTCAAAAAGATCGGGAAAATAACAAGAACAAGAGCAACAGCTTGAGCTAAGTCGAAAATTCAATATGATGTGTATAAAAATTTCAATACTATTGAATATACCTAATCAGTGTGCCGGGGCTTACCCATTGTTCGGTTAGGATATACCTCATTCAAGACAATCCAAATTCATTCGGAGGGCGAAGGCAAACAGTAACCTCGTGCTCTTCTGGTCCCATTCGATGTTTAGGCACTTTTATCTCGAGAATTGTTTCATTCTTGTGGAAATAAGCTTCGAGCTGTGCATCATCAGGGATCCTTGTGGGCAGCATGATTTCACGTTTAAATTCCCCATGGGGGCAGTGCTCCGGAGCTGGATCAGTGAGCTTAAACATACGGTCCCTTCTCTGAAGAAACGGCATGCACGCTGTGCTAATCGAAGAAATCTTCACCACTCCATGGTGGAGATTGTTCGACCAATGAACTTTCACGCTGCCAGGATCAGTAAGAGGTAACGTAACAAGTATCAAGTATCCTTCTTCATCTTCGTATATAGTTTTTGCAGCTGTAACAGGACCATTTACGTTTCTCATTACGCCAGTGAACTCATTCATCCAAGGAGGATCGATTTGATGGAATTCTGCATCTTGATGTCGATTCCCATTGGCATTATTAGGAAAAGTGCAATCTTCGTCATTTCCATTCGACAATAGATCTTTCCTTTTCAAACCATTCCCATTCGCATTCACATTGTTAGATGGTTGAGTCGATAAATTCAAACCCGATCCATTGAGAAGTTTCTTCTTCGCCAAAGGAAGTGGTCTTTCAAGCTCAAAATCTACGTTTGGGAGGTTCCTCCACGTGATAAAATCCTTCGCATCGGGGGGAATGCAAAAGTTGAGATCTCTACCAGTGAGTTCCACCCATCTCTTCTGCTCTTCCTCGTCGAGGCGCATCAAATTGGGCGATGGGACCAATTCTATCCCATGTAAACACTGCGGATTAGAGAGTCCTCTGTAGTGTTTCCTCTGCATTTTATGAGACCGAACAAAACCTTTATCAACACTAAATGGAAATGGGCGCTGCCCCTCGCGAGAATGGCCATTCATGAAGCTTCTCAGCTGCATCTTACCCAATGCATTCTCCGGCTTCTCCTTGAAAACCCACATATATATATTCTCCATATCATGCTGCACCAAGAAGACATCGAGCTTTAGATCATTCTTATCGAATCCAGAAATGCCATTGTCATCCCACTTCGAGTTTTCCTTAACAACAGGCTTGAAATAGAAGCTGAAAAAGAACCAAGCACCCCACACATTGTCCAATCTCTTGGCGAACTTTCGACCAAGCTTAGGTAACTCAATTAGCTTATCCGAATCACCTGCCGGATGCCCAAGCCCAACCTCAAGCATATCAAACATCTCATGGCTCCATGACTGAGCCACCAGAGGAGGAGGAGGAGGGCTCGGCTCCACCAACAATGGAAGATTAATATCCGGTGGACCGGAAAGAATAACTTGCCTATTCATGTCACAGGCAGCAATTGAAGAATCCATGGACAGGAATGTCGATGGATGATAATTCTCGATATTCAACCCTGTCATCAGATCTTCCCCCATTTCCTAAACCTTATTTATCCTCTCACAAATAATTTTACCAATTTTGCTAAAACCTAACTATCAACACCAACCAAAATCAACGAAAGCCTAGAACAAATAACCCTACAAAAACACCGAATAACTCATTTTCACGTACAGATGCTCAATCTTCGACCCCATAATCGATCAATGAAGCAGATAAATCACACAACACTAAACAATATCAAATCTACGACCACCAAACACGTAAAACAACGCCTAAACAACAGATATACCTTCCCAAATCAGAAATTTTCCATAATCGATAAGAACAGGAAATCAGAGAGTACCTTCCGCAATAAATCCGCAGAGAAAATAATAATTAAAAAAAAATTACAAAATAATAAATAAAATCTCTACAGTAGAAAATGGGCAGAGCGATTGAATTGAGGTTAAAGCAGAAAGAAACCGTGACGGATTCCGTTAAGACTTAACGTCCGTTATAAGACGAGGGGTTGAATGATGTATCTGTTCTGTGATAAGCTATCGCCCGTGGTAGTGGTCTTGTGGTCCGGGACCACCTGAATATGAATGCTTCTAGGAAATTTCGTTTTGGTCCTCGGGTTTCCTTTTTTACAGCTTTTTTACCTTTATTTAATTGAATGTGTACTTACGTGTGATTTTGGTAACTCTCTCATTTGCTGGCCTTTTAACCAAACATTTATTTTTATATAGAAAATAAGATAAATTTTGTAAATAAAAAGCTATTATATGAAATCTACAACCACTTACCAACTTCTTTTATTTGGAAAGATTAAATAATATTTCTATATAAATATTTAATTTAAATCAATAAAAGATTAGAAATTAAGATTTAGTTAAACAAATACTAAATTAAATTACAAATTAGTATATGATCCAAAACTATGAACATCTTTGTTTATTTGTTTTATGAAAATAAATCAATACATTCTTTTAAAAAAATTAATATATTAAATACTCTCTTCGTCTCAGATATCATGTACATGTTGTTGTTTCTGTCCGTCTCACATACCATGTCACTTTTCTTTTTTTAAAAATGATTACACACTTTAATCTCATTTTAAATTTTTTAATTTTTTTTAAATTTTAATTAAATTAATTAGTTATCTTAATCTTAATTTATAATTATTTATATTATAGGATAATTATTTTCACTAATACATTTTTAATTATCTACTAATTACACCCCTCCAAAAATATCGTGTCTACAGTGTAGCAGACACGGTATCTGGGACGGAGGGAGTATATTTATTATCGTATATTATCTACACAATTTTATATACTCCATTGTTCCTTAACAATCTATTCATTTTTTCATTTTGTCCGTCCCATAACAAATTATTCATTTTATTTTTTTTAGTAATTGTACTATCTACCTAACATTACAGATACCTTCCAATTTACCATACTAATAGGGTTAATTTAGTCTTTTTATCTTTATTTTTACTTTATTCTAATATTTCTAAAACTCCGTATAAAAAACAAATAGATATATAAATATGAGACAAATAGAATATTTCATATAAAAAATATTTTTTCAAATCATTTCATATTTTATATTTAAAGAAATTATGCTAGAAATTATGCTAAAGTTGAGAGCTACTTCATTACCTCTAATTATTATTTTAATTTATTTTTCTAAAATTACTAATAATTACTCGTTGCCTCAACTAATTTGCCCATTTTAGATGGTGACCGAAAACCTCCAATTGAATAATAATTTACTAATTGGTTTCAAACAATTTGGTTGTTTAAAATTGTGTTTGTTTTATAAATATATATTTATTTTTAATATAATTTTTTATATTTATTAAATTTTTTAAATTTAAATTTTATTTTACAATTATTTTTTTTAATTTAAATTATATTTAAATATTTATTTATTGTGTAAAAATTATATAAATAATATTAATTAGATTGCTACTATAAAAATAATAAATTTAATAAATAATTAAATTAAATTTTGAATTAAATAAATAAAAATAAATTATAAAAATATTAATGTAATAAATAATTTAAATTTAAAACAGTTATGTAACAAAAAATACTATAAGATTTAAAATATCAATATAAAAAATAATATTATATTAGTATTATTTTTTATATATCATTGATAATTATTTATTTTATTAATATTATTTTATTTTTAGTTTTATAAAAATTCGATAGTATAAAAAAATTTAATTATAAATTTATTATCATTATCATAATAAATTATATAACACCATCTTAAAAAATGTACAAAATAAAAAATATTAATTTAAAATTTGTAAGAAACACATCTTTTTTTTAAAACTGATGTTTGGTTATAACAATTTGTTACGTGATTTTTATCGAAATTATAAAAATAAATGATTGATAAATTATTTATTTATTTATTTTATTAGAAATATTATTTAAGATATTTTATATTTTATATTTTTATAAAACTTACATAATTTAAATTTTTATTTAGAACTAAACATTAATTTTGGACAAAAAAAATATTTTGTTCAAACTTTATATTAACACAAAGCAATTTTACTTAAAACACGAGTATTTTGTGCACTTTTGCTAAAACCAACCTAACAATTTACCCTTAGTTTTTTCCTCTTCTTCTTCACTCACTCTCCTTGCCTGGTGCTGTAAGATTAAAAAAAAAAAAAAAAAAAAAAAAACAAATTCAACTGTCGAACCGCCGGTTCGACAAAATCGTATCGTCGAAATGACGTTCGCTTTGTAACCCTTCCGGTTCGAACCGTAACTGCCGATTCGAAAACCGGAAAACCGGCGGTTCCAAACCGAATGGGCAAGTCTATTTATTTGTTTCCTATCCTCGGCTCTCATTTTTCTTTCCGGCCTCCGTCGGCGTCGGCAGCTAGTCGTTTTAAGTATTCGTCCTTTGCGGCTTCGTAAGAAGCTTTGTAAGTTCAATTCTCGCTCTAATTTTGAATTATTTGTCGTGATTCATTTTATTGCCGGTGGCTATGGATATTTAGGGTATTAATTGTTTGGTTTTAGTTGTAATTGATTGTGTTGATTTTAGATTTATTCTAAGAGTAGAGTTTATCATCTGCCTATAGTAAGAGTTTATCATTTTTGTTGGTTCTGACTAAATCCTAAACCCGAAACTTGAAGAAACTGGGGGAATTAATTTACTGAACCATATACCTTATTTCGGCTCCATATGCATGCGACGTTGCTGATTTTCTCCGGATTACAATAAGCCAAAACCTTATGGCGTCCTAATTTGTTGGAATTTGCATCTAATTCGGAAGCTTTGCTATTGTGCTATCGAAGTTGGGATAGTTTGATTTAGGTTTTGTTTGGCTATATGAGTTTATATATATGTTTTGAAACTTGTGGTTGCACTCATTTATTGATTTGTATAGTCTTTAAGGGATTTGATTTTATCTTTCAGGAGAATGCTTTGATAGCTTTGTTGTTTAGTTGAAATATTTCATGGTGATATAATATCTCTCTTTTTCTCGTTGACAGTTTTGGCATTCTTTAGATGAATTTTGATTCTTTCTTTCGGTTTAATGAAAGTTCTTTCAAAATTGCAGCAGAATCTTATCATCTTCCTTCCTTCAGATGTCCACTGCGCTCAGAACTAAGCCTCGGTTACTTTCTACAGCTCATCTCTTTCGAAACATACGCACCTTTTCCTTTATTGATGATAGTGGAGGGCGTTCTAGTAACCCCCCGGAACCCATTCCTAACAGACCTTTGAGAAGGCAATCTCATCCACCCTCAAACTCTCGTTCCCCAAAGTTTAACCCTATCCGCGAAAATGAAAACCGAAGTTCAATTAAAGGCGAGACTGATTCTGATTTTTTGGAAAGGTTCAAGCTCAGTTTTGAGAGTAAACAGGAGCACTCTATCCCCAAATCTGAGATGGTGAATAGAACTGATCTGGACGAGAAATCGGAAACTGCTGAAACAGCATCTGCTCCAGAGGAAGCAGATGAGATATTTAAGAAGATGAAGGAGACAGGGTTGATCCCAAATGCGGTGGCCATGCTTGACGGGCTGTGTAAAGATGGGCTGGTGCAGGAGGCAATGAAGCTGTTTGGAATAATGCGGGAGAAGGGTACAATTCCCGAGGTCATCGTGTACACCGCAGTAGTGGAAGGCTTTTGCAAGGCTTGCAAGTTTGACGATGCAGTAAGAATTTTTAAGAAAATGCAGAGCAATGAAGTGGTCCCTAATGTGTTCAGCTACCAGGTTTTGATTCGAGGGTTGTACAGTAGGAAGAGGTTGGATGACGCCCACAGGTTCATGCTTGAAGCATTGGAAGCTGGGCATTCCCCAAATTTGGAAACTTTCACGGGATTAGTTGATGCGTATTGCAGGGAGAAGGGCCTGGAAGAGGCAAAGAATGTCATCAGTTCGATGAGGGAGAGAGGTTTTGCTTTTGAAGAGAAACCTATCCGGGAATACTTGGATAAGAAAGGGCCTTTCTTGCCATTGGTTTGGGAGGCGATCCTGGGGAAGAAGGCCTCAAAGATGTCCATGTTCTGACAGGTATTTCATTGTCCTTCTTCTAACTTGGTATTTTGATAAAACTATGTTGTGGCATTTTGAATCGGTGACATTTTTTTTTTTTGTGTATGCTTGGTGGTATTTGGTTCTGATCTCTCCATTGATATATATATATATATATTTCTCTTTCGTGTGCATACATATGTGCATTGTTGTAAACAATGAGACGAAGTAAGCTACTACATATTAATATATTGTGAGTTATTTATGGTTTCTATGTTTTTTTTTTGTTAGCTTATAATTCTAATTGGCTATAGGATATGAGGTCTTTTAGAACATTTTGTTTAACTACAAAAATAACGTTGTATTTATAGTATTGTATAATTTTGGATGGCTTCTTGCAATAAGACGAATACTGTTTGTTCCGATTCTTGATTAATTACATAGAGTGTTAGTATCTATATATGGTTTGTTCATCTAGCTAAATAGGCGGAGGATCTGGTGTTGATACAGTTTTTAACTACACCCTGCAAATTTGTGATATCTCCCAAAGATTTAAGTAATAAATTAGACTATATTGCATGCAGGAACTTCGATGACATAAATGTGGCACATAGTTCAGGTCTGCATGGAAAATGGGGCAATGAGGGTTCGGCACTAGACATCTTCGAGACAGAAAAGATTTCTCTTATTGGAGATCACTTCTAACCAACTTCTAGAGGTATCCAATTTCTTTCTTTCCTCTCTCGAATCAAGTTGATAGCCAAAGAATCATAAAAAAAAAAAAAAAAAAAAAAAAAAAAAAAAAAAAAAAAATCCTTTTTAAAGACTATGAGCAAAATTTTGGATAGTTAAATTTTCGTAAGTTAATTTACATTGTACACTATTAGTTGTTGTGTCTATGACCTTTTTAGCATCAGTGAATGCGTGCGCGCGTGAATCGATATGATTTAGGTTACATGTTAATCTAATTAGTGAAATAATTATTTGAATAATTGTCTTGAATGATGAAAGAATTGCAAAAACTTACCTGTACTTGTTGTACATGTTTACCACATAGACCCGACCACTGCCGATTAGATATAAGACTATTTTCACAGAGACTTCAATTACAAGATCAAAATGATAAAGAGTGCCATGTACGAGACTATAAAAACATTTATCCCTAAAATCAATAGCAGCGCAAGGAGCACTATTTTATACTTGTAAAATTTTAAAGTCCCTGGTCTTATAATTTGTTTAGTTCTTTGTCTAGGGATAGAACACGCCTGATAGGTTGATAACTTTGTGGTTGTCACTTTAATGAACTTTGAAGAAGTTGTGTTCGAGGAACATGACCTGCCGATGTTTGCATTGCTTGGTTTTATGTGTTAATGTCATGAAGAGTTTCGAGTCGATAGTTTCATTTGCTTTGTTTAATTTATGGACGAATTTTCCATCACCATCTATGATGCTAGAAACATTACTGTTGTTTGCCTTTTTCTAGATTTTTGGATGATGTTTAGTTTCGGGAAAAAATGACAAAAAAAACAAAAGAAGAGAAGTTGTTGCGGGTGCTATAGGTTTTCTGCCGGTTAGCTCTTTTTTCTTGATTTGGTTTTCGCCGCACCATACTTAGCTGTGTCGCTACTAGAAAATTATGATATTGTTGCGAAAAATTTATCGCGTAATGATCTATTGTAACAAATTTTACTGAAAATTTAATAAAATTTATAAATAAAGTAATTGATGCGGACTTTCGCAACAATCTTTATTACAATAATTAATTTTTCTATTTGTTGTGGAATGCTGCAACAAACAAGAAATACAATTTAAAATTATTTACAATGCATTGTTGCTGTTATCCGCCGCAAAGAATAGAGGTTGCGGGTCGGATTTGGGTTAAAGGTTCGATTTGGGTTGCGGGTTAGGCCGAAACATTGTCATGTATTTTAAAATTTTTATTATAATAAAAATATATTCAATATATATTATTGGAGAATAAAATTTTATAATATAATTAAATATAAAATTAATATTTAAATATAATTATCCTAAATTAATTTTATAAAAATAAAAATATATATATATTAATTGAAAAAATAAATAAATAGAAAATTATACAAAAAAATAAAAATAAAAATAGTAATAATAAAAATTGAAAGGGCACGTCAATATTATTTCATTTTTTTGGTGAGATTCAAGAACTAAAGAAGACGACAACATGACAAGGAATGATGATGTGTACATGTGTGTAAGAGATAGGTCGAGGGAGAAGTCACATCACATCGTACATAAAATTTTATAACAACGAATTAAGATTGTGTTTGTTTATTATTTAAAATTTTAGATGCTTTGTTTTAAGGTACGACGAATTAAGAAGATACTCGGGTTTGTTCGCTCAATATTTTTAGATAAATTAATTTTTTGTATGTGAGATATGGAGAACTGTATTGGTAATATAAAAAATAATATTTTGTGTTGAATGATTAATTTTTTATATAGTAAATGATATACTCTCTCCGTCCGTCTGTAGCAGTGGCGTAACTAGGATCAAGTTAGAGGGGAGACTATTTTTTTTTTAATTAACAAAATACTTTTCCGATCTCGAAACAATAAAGACATTTGAGTTCGACTCGAAATTTAAAAAATAATAATATTATCTTTAAAATGAAGATAAAATAGATAGTAAAAAAACTAAAATATCATTAATAGTGTATTTGCGTATAAAAGTAATGACATTTATATAAAAATAATAAAAAATATATAATATATAATTATTTATGAAAATAAAATTATTATTTTGAGATCGAAAAAATAAAAAAATAACTTATTATTTTAAGATGGAAGAAATATATTTTATATGTCTATTTATTGTCCAACTAATTTTATCTTTCTAATTGTTACCTTTTAAAAAATTACAAAATAACAATTACAATAGTATTATTTACTATACATTGTAAAAATTCATTTTTGAATTTGTATGAAATAAAATATAGTAATACATATTTATTAGAAAAAAAAAATCTATAATTAAAATTATTATTAATATTATTATTTATTCCAATAATTTTTTCTAGGCTTTTATATATATATATATATTTAAAAATATATAAAAATAAGTAAATAAATTAAAAGAGGGTGGGGTGGGGCAAGGTAGGCTGATAGATCCGCCCTTGTCTGTAGGGTCAAATTTATGTATTTAATATTAAAAATATTATTATATTTGTATAATTTTTTTTATAAATATTCTTCTATTAGTATTATAAGACACTAATTGAAGTATTTTTGTATTTTTTTAATTTATACTATATTTTGATATAATAATTAATATTAAAGATCAACACGCAAAAAATGAACGAGACCTTAGTGAGACAGATATAATATATTATATTAATGTGTGTGTGCATTTATATTTTTAATAATATTTGTGGAGAATTATTCCATTAAACAGACTGATTATAAAAAAGATATATTGAATATTACTGCTGTCTTTTAGTGTGTTTTTATTAATTTTTATTGTTATATGTATATCTTATAGTATATTTTATTTTTATGAGTACTATTTTTAAAAAATCTGGTCATTCTACACTAAGGGTATGTTTGTTTCGAGGATTCTCCAAGATTTTTAATATTCATCAATTTTTTTTTCTCCAAAAATATCAAATAAAAAATCTAATTTTTTTTATATTATTTTAAAAATTAATTTTACATTTAAAACATTACATCAATACATATTTATATCACATATTTATACGTATATCTTATGGTATATTTTATTTTTATGAGTTTTCACATTGAATGTTTTCACACTATATAAGTTTTCACATTGAATGTTTCGATTAGACTTGTTAAGATAACCTTAATCTAATATTTTTTGTTGGAATTGAAAATAATTAAATAGTATCTAAAATCGATTTTTTTTTTCTTTTAATATTTAATTTTGATTGCACATATATATTTTTTAAATAGTGAACAATTTTCAGTTTGAATCGAAGGATTGTATTTTATCTTTTATTTTTTAAAAAAATAAATTTATCATTATTTTTTGTGAGCATTAAAAATGTACGGGAGATTAATGGCATTAAGAAATCATTATCTTTTGCTATGAAATTTTAATAACTAATTTTTTATTTTTTTTTTGTTTTTTTTTTTTTGTAGTGTTAAAACTCATTTTTGTTTCATTTCATTATGTTTGGGAATGAAAAAAATGGTTCATTGAGTGGTCAATTCATATGAAAAAGAGGTTGGATATGGATGCAAGGGATTTTGGGTAAACTGTATTTTTAATCCCGTAACTGGACCTCCTTATCACTTTAGTTCTGTAAGTGGAGTATGTCATGTCGCAAACTAGTCCCATAAGTGAAAGATTTTCGTTGTTTTAGTCCTCCGGCGCCGGAGATGCCGGCGTGGCTCGCCGGAGGTAACGTATCCGCCAGGTGCGTGGATTTTTTAATTTTTTTTAATTTTTTTAAAAAGTTTTTAAAACTTATTTTTAATTTTTTTAAATTTTTTTTTTGTATTTTTTTTATTTTGTCTAATTAAAAAAAATTAAAAAAAAATTCACGTGTTCGCCAGGTGTCGCTGACCTGGCGGGACACCTGGCGGACATGTTACCTCCGGCGAGCCATGCGGGCGTCTCCGACGCCGGAGGACTAAAACAGCGAAAATTTTTCACTTATGGGACTAATTTGCGACAGACTCCACTTACGGGACTAAAATGATAAATGGGTCAATTACGAGACTAAAAAAACAGTTTACCAAGGATTTTTAATACCCCTTTTGGTCCCAAGATCTCCATCCCAATCTTCCATAGTCGGGCAAAGTTCGGTCACCATAGGGTGTGTTTGTTTGTGGGTTTGGATTTTCGAATAGTAAAAAGTTGAATTTGAATAGTTGTTTGATGTGATATAAATAGAAGTTGATGTGATATTTTGAATGTAAAATAAACTTGTAGTATAATATAATAAAAGAAAAATAATCGTTTGATTTGACATTTTTCGAGGAAAATAAGAAACTGTATAGTAAAAACCTGTTATAAAACCCACAAAAGAACACAAACTATGGTTTTCATAAATGTAGGCAACATATGCGAGGTAATAGTTTTCCTTGGCAGAGAGAATGATAATGCATTTTCTAGCTTCACTTGTGCATTCTTTTAATTGAAAATTACCGAATGATAAAAAACTTGATATGTCGGAGACATTCGGGATGATGTTGAGAAAAAAGTGTTCCCCTCGTTGCCATTCCAAATGCTCGATTGTCCGATTCGAACTTATATATGTAATATATCTTTCTCATCTTCATGTATGCATGTACTCGTATTTTCAACTAATAAAGAGTTTGCTTACTTTGCGTATTGTGTATATATATTTTTTATATTTATGGTTTCAATATTTTTGAAGTGAAACGTATGTTGTTGGATATGAAATTTTGTAAATATGCATAATATTTCTACTTTTTTTTATATATATATATTTTTTAAAAAATGGAAGTAAGTGATAGCTAAAAATTGTATGCGTTAAATGTTTATATTATTTGGGATATATGGTTGATTTTGATCCGCTTCTACATGATTTGTATATATATTTGTTAATTTATGATTTGCAAGAAAAATAATAAATTTGGTATAATTTGAGGGAGAAGATAACAAAAATTACCAATGACCTAAAGAATTAATTAAAAGACCTAAAAAAGCTTAATTGTTATCTAAATAGGGCAACAATAAAAGGAAATTGAAGGGAGGAGGTGCCACTTTTCATGCCAAAGAGAACAGTGCAGAACAGTGGAGAAATCGTGCAATGGCAAGAAGGAGAAAGATTTTTCCAAGGAGATTTTCCTGTCAATCCGATCAATCTCATACGATGTTTATTTTTGTTATCTTTGTTCTTTTTTTCATAACTAGCGAGTAGATTACTTTTCTAGTTTAGAAGTGAAAGAAACAACTTGGTATGGAATTGTGATGTTTTTATTTACATTATTTCTTAGTTCCTAAGTATTTTTGTGATTTCTGATTTTAATGTTTGATAATCTTTGATTTAGTTGAGTATTGTAACCAGTAATTCCCTGGCGAATAGTTATCAGTAAATTGACTCTCAACTAGAACTATATATGTATATATATATATTTTTAAATATGAGCAACAAGAGATCAATTTACCCTTCAAATTCCTTCAAATTCAAAATTACTTATCAAGATTCAATCACAAAATTGCCCTTACAAAACTTTTCACTCGTTGTCCTCTAAGAGAAGACCTAATGGTAAAGGATGAAGTTGTGGCGATGAGAATGATTTAAATTCGGCTGCTTCTAGGTTTTTACTACCACATATGGTTCATTCAGTGTGACTTGTCTTGTTGAACCTAGTTTACAGTAAATTCGGTCGGAAGTTTAACTAAAACACACTCAAAGAGTAATGCTACTGGTTCCCTCGTTAAATTTATACCATAAACACCAAAAGTAAAAAGAAAAAATATATTATACACTTTCTTGTTATTCATATTTCGATACATAATAACAATGTTATTGTTATCACTAAAATTACACATACACTATCAATTAATTACACTTCCTAATGAATTTATCCAGATATTCCCACAATAATTTTTATTCTTTATCTACGTTGATATTAATATACTGAGTTTTAGTTTTCATGTCAAGCTTTACATTTGTAAGTTTGGCCGATGAAAAAAGTATATTATAAACGTTTTAGAAATTCAACTGTGGTTATGGAATATTTTGGAAAATTTTTTGCTTCCCTTATTTTATAAAATTAAAAAAAGAAAAAGAAAAAAAGAAGACATGAATGAAGAGAATATTATTAATAAGGTAAATTTATTTTGGATCTGATTTTAAACAAGTAGATCGAGCGGCTAACCTAATTTGGTACGAAACTATTGTGTATATATACGTGTAAATTTGGTCGCGGTACGTCCAAATATCTTTTACCTTGTCAATCTATTAATTTTATGTTACGAAACCATCATACACATATATGTAAATTTGGTTCCGGTACATCCAAAAATGTCTTTGACCTTATTATATTTGTTAATTTTTTTGCGATGTAACAAATATATGAGTAGTATTTATTAATTTATTCAACACTTTATTTTAATTTCAAACATATATAATATGCATTTTTACAATGAGCTGTAATTACAGTTTATATGAACTAAGAATATATAACCATCGTTAATGCATCATATATTTTTATTTATTTAAGTATATAAAATATATTTATACAACACTATGTATATATATAACAAATATAAGTATAATTTTTTTAAAAAAAAAAAGAAAAAAAAAACTAAGATAACATGTATTTGTATTAATTGATGAAACAATTTATTTTATGTCTATTTGTGATTTTCTGCTTGAGCCAATAACCATACTAACTCATGCCTTTACAATGTGTTTATTTGATCGACACGAATTTTAAATAAAAATTATAATAAAAAATTTAGAAATAATATTTTTAATGAATTTTTTTTTTATTTTTTTTTGGTATGACTAAAAGAAATGTACATATATTTAAATAACAAAAATAATAATATTTTGGAATCCATATTAACCATATGGAGTATAAAAACTTGCCTGTCATGTATGTATGAATTATGATGAGCATAATACAAAATATATTTATTAATAGTAGTATTTTGCATAATATTTTGACTCAAAAAAATAATATTAAAGATAACATTCATTTATACATATATATATATATTATATTAATCAATCAAATAATAAAAAGATATAGAGGGAAAAAAAAAAAGCACCTATAGTAATTAGTGAAGGTTACGTGATGAATTTTCAAATTTGACATATATGAAATATAGAAATATCACATATTTTATTAAAAATCGTACATATTGATAATAAAGACATGTTCTATTTATTTACTATTATAGCGTGTGATATTAAAGAGTATATAATGTGTTAAAATCAATTGAGGTATATATTTTACGGGTATATAACTGTTAATTTATATGTTTTATTTGTATTATACTCCCTTCGTCCCAGATACAGTGTCTGCTGTACACTGTAGACATGGTATTTTAGGAGGGGTGTAATTAGTAAATAATTAAAAATGTATTAGTGAAAATAATTATCCTATAATATAAATAATTATAAATTAAGATTAAGATAACTAATTAGTTTAATTAAAATTAAAAAAAAATTAAAAAATTTAAAATGAAAGAAAGTGACATAGTATGTGGGACGGACAAAAACGACAACTTGGACATGGTATACGGGGCGGATAAGAGTATTAATATAAATAATTACATTAAAATAAGAATGCACGTGTATTAACCAAAATAAAAAAACGATAAAATAACATCAGTTGTTTTGGTTGAGCGATAAAAGGCTATGAAAGAAATATTCTGAAGTTGCATCTAAAATGTCGGATTATTTGTGTTACGTACGAAATTTAGAATTAGGTTAAAAGCCCAAGGTAAAAAGAAGAATGGGCCTGGCAATAGAGTTGATTGAACTGACTGAAGGGTACCATGAGGAAATCAAGGGAAATAGGTTTATTACTAAGGAAAGTCCTCAGGTCGGAAGGACCTCAGGTCGGTAGGTCCTCAAGACGGAAGGACCTCAAGTCGGAAGGTCTTCAGGTCGGTAGGTCCTCAAGACGGAAAGTCATTAGGACGGAAGGACCTCAGGTCGGTAGGTCCTCAAGGCGGAAAGACCTCAGGTCGGAAGGTCTTCAGGTCGGTAGGTCCTCAAGACGGAAAGTCATTAGGACGGAAGGACCTCAGGTCGGTAGGTCCTCAAGACGGAAGGACCTCAGGTCGGAAGGTCTTCAGGTCGGTAGGTCCTCAAGACGGAAAGTCATTAGGACGGAAGGACCTCAGGTCGGTAGGTCCTCAAGACGGAAGGACCTCAAGTCGGAAGGTTTTCAGGTCGGGAAGACCTCAAGGCGGAAAGACCTCAAGTCGGAAGGTTTTCAGGTCGGGAAGTCCTCAAGGCGGAAAGACCTCAAGTCGGAAGGTTTTCAGGTCGGGAGGTCCTCAAGACGGAAAGACCTCAAGTCGGAAGGTTTTCAGGTCGGGAGGTCCTCAAGTCGGAAGGCCCTCAGGTCGGGAAGTTCTCAGGTCGGAATGCTGCGGCAGAACCAACAAGTCAGATGGTTTGCAAGTCGGGAGGATTGGCGGTCGGACCCATACTATTGTAGATTGGCAGTCGGGCCAAAAGAGCGGAAGGTCTGTGGTCGGCTTAAAGAGTGAAATATAGGGATAATTCTGGTCTGCTGGGGACGCGTGTCAGCATGAGAAGGGTTGGAAGACGGTTGGGAAGGAGTCGTTGTAACCGTTCGGGTGACGGTTTTCGGTACGGTTTCCAGAGAATATTTAAAGGCTTGGATAATCATTTGACAAGGCATCTTCAATCAACTTCAACAAAGCAAAGTCAGATTTGGGGATCACCACTTTAAATTTCAGTCTTTTATTTTCCAGTTTATTTTCTGTACCATACAGTGTTTAGAGATTCCTAATCTCAGGCACTAATTAATCAAGTTTAAGGATATTTTCTATATCTTTGAATTTTACTTTATTTTTGTTGAAAAATTACATCAACAAATTGGCGACCACAGTGGGAGCAAGACAAAATTGCTCATTCCAATTCCGGCGATAATTTCATACGTCTAAGATCCGGCCGTATCATCGGAAGGGTCCATATGGCAGGTTCACAACCTCAATCATCTTCGGCACCGGTGGGAGAATCCGTTCCACCACCTATTGTGCCAAATGCCGGGGAAATCCCACAACCACCAACTGATTGGTGGTCTTATGTTCAACAAATGAACAACCAGCACACTTTGGTTATGCAAAACATGTTGCGTGAGCAACAAACGAACATGTTGCGTGAGCAACAGAGTCTGATGCAGAACATGATAGATCAAGCACTGTCAAGGGTTAGTCTTCAACCCACTCAAACTCCATCAGGAGTATCACCGTCCAGACTACAGACAAATTTCGCAGGGCCATCATTCGTGGATAGTACATTCCCAAGTGCCACTAATCCCAACCGAATGGATAGGGGAAAATCTCCTCTGACTTTTCCCAACACAGTTCCACTGGGACCAAGGGTTACCAATCCGCAGACGAACAATACAAGGGAGGACAGGCCTGAAGGATATATACATGATCCTATTCATATTCCTGTGCAGGATCCGTTCCATGTTCCTGATCATCAACGCTTTCATGTAGATCCTGATGAGCTTGCACATATATTAAGGGATCAGTATGGATTAACTCCTCAGATGGCTAACCGCCCTGCATATCAGAAACCTTTCCCAGAAAGAGTCATTAATGAACACCCTCTCCCAAGGAATTATCGACCACCCGATTTTCATGCATTCTCAGGGGAGGACGGATCTTCCACCATAGAACATGTTGGTCGGTTCACAGCACAATTGGGAGAAGTTGGTAATAACCCTTTTTATAAGTTGCAACTGTTTGGTTTATCTCTTACTAGAACCGCGTTTTCGTGGTTTGCAAGTCTGCCCCCTGGACAAATTCAGACGTGGGAAGGACTGGAGACGGCATTTCATGCTAGATTCTTCAATCCTTTACCGACTGTTTCTTTAACAGATTTACTGGAATTGAGGCAGTATCCAGAAGAATCTGCTTCACAATTTATAGAAAGGGTGCGATTGATGAAGGGACGATGTCCTACGGTAATCAGTGAGAAAGAGATGACCAATTTGGTGGTCCGGAATATGCATACTCGCTTAAGAAAGGCGCTCACTGCCCTGGATGTTGAGGATTTGGCAAGTCTTGCATCCAAGGCAGGACGTTTAGAATCTTTGTTTAGAGAGGAAGATCAGCATAACAGGCGTAATAGAGGCCAACATATGGCGAGTATGGGAACAGAAACATGTGACTTTGATTTTAATCAATCAGAAGAGATGGCAGCCGAAATCCTTTCTGGGAAACCTTATGTATGCCCTAAGTTGAAGCCAGTACTAGGATCTAAAGGAAAAGAGCAACCGACCTTTGATAGTTCGAAAGCTGATGAAATCTTTGACATCCTACTGACTGATGGGCAGATCCGTATTCCAAAGGGGCAAAGATTGGCCACTAAAGAAGAAATCAAAGGGAGACCATATTGTAAGTGGCATAATTCTTTCACACACAATACAAGTCAGTGTACTCATTTCAGGAAGGAAATTCAAAAGGCCATCAAGACGGGTCGGCTCAAATACATTACTCTAGGTGTAGATCAGCAACCATTTCCGAAAGTAACAACTGCAATGGTTGACATCCAACCAAGTTCGGAAACAAGGAAAAGTTCGGTCAATGATGGACAAACAGGGGAACGAACTCAGGCAAGCCCCGGAACAAAGAAAGGAGATCAGCCAAAAAGCAGCCGACCTGAAGAACGACTCAAAGTTTGTGAGAAACCAGTCGCTGAAAAATGGGACCATCCAGACGGTTCTTTTAACGTGGAGGTGAAAGAAAAGGTTTTAGTGCGTGACCATCCGACCAGAAAAACAGGGTCAGTCGGGAACAATTGGGCTCGAAATAAAAAGCCTTTACCAGTTGATATAGATCCTCGTTTCCCAGGTATGAATCGTACACAGATTCGCAATGCCAAATGCAGGTATGCTGCAAAGTATGGGAAACGAGTTCCTTCAGCAAAACAACTAACCGACGAACAAAAAGCAGCCGACCGTTTGGCAGGAGATCAGTCCATTCGGGTCTTTACAGAACAAACGACCAAAGAGCAGGGAGCAGCCATTCAGTCTCCAATTGGTCGGTCCAGTCGGGTCTGGTCAGGAAAGCAACCGAATGACGAATCAGGCGCTTCCGACCATACCAAAAGAAGTTCGTCGGGGCAAGGGAAAGGTAAAGGAATGGCAGATGAAATAATTAAAGGTTTTAGATGCCAACATTGTGAACGGATCAACATCAATCCATCTCTTGAAGATTTCCGTATAGAATCTTTGACGCTTCAACCTCAGAACAAGACGAAGGAAGAAATTCTAACTACAGAGGAAAGTTCAAGATCTGTTAAATCTCGTCTGGGACCACGAATCCCTTGTCGAATGACAGAGATTAATCAGATGAGAGACGAACCGATATGGGCGAGTCTGGTAGATGATACTATGGACGAACCATTATGGGCATTCTTGGCAGATGATGAATTAGAGGAAATAGGGTGGGCAAAGACTTCAGATTCTGAGCCTCAGCCGGAGCCACCTTCGATTGTGTTTCCTCCTATTCCAGAGGGTGCGATCTCCCATTTGAAACCTCTGTATGTTAATGCTCACATTTGTGGGAAACCAATCACAAAGGTTTTCGTGGATAATGGAGCAGTCTTTAATGTTATGCCATTGAAGACTCTCAAGAAGCTAGGGAAAGGAATTCATGATCTGTCTCCTGTGGAATTCGAAATGACAAGTTTTACAGGGCAGCCGACTAAGCCTGAAGGGATGATGGTTGCCACCATTGAAGTCGGACCAAAGAAGATTTCCACTGTTTTCTTTATTGTGGACGCAGATACTACATACTCTCTCTTGCTGGGAAGAGACTGGATTCATGCCTCTCAATGTGTGCCTTCAACCCTGCACCAACAATTAATGTTCTGGGAAGGAAATCAGGTCTTCAAAATGGAAGCGAATGACAACCCATTCGATGTATCAGAACAAGTTGAAGAGTCAGTGTTTTATTCCAGTCATTTGGCTCCGATGTCTCAGTTGTATATGGCCAGGGAGTACCCATACAAGGGTTATAAAGTCACTGGCCAGAACTCGATGTTCTATTAAAAGAACACCTTTATTGTATGGCTCATGATAAAGCCACACCCATTTCCATATAATTTGTTTGCAATGGATGATACAAGTTTAGAAGTATGTAGTTCTCTTATTAATAAGTTCTATTTAAAGCAGTTATTACATAAAGCAGAAAATAGTAAAGAGATTCTGGATGTTCACCTCCAAGAAGATGAACAATTTCGTTGGCCCGACTTATTAGAAAAAACAGAACCAACAGCTTCATCACAAGACCCATTATTGGAGTTTAATTTAGGAACCGAATTGGTTCCAAAAGTGATCAGGTTAAGTGGTTATTTGTCTAAAGAGCAACAAACAATGATGCTCGAAGTTATTAGAAACAACATTGATTGTCTAGCATGGGATTATTCAGAGATGCCTGGTTTGACAAGAAGTCTAATAGAGCATCGATTGCCTATCAAAGAAGGTTGTAAACCTTACAAACAACCCCCAAGGCGAATGAGCCCGGATCTAATGCCTCAAATCAAGGAAGAAATCCAAAAACTTCTCAAAGTGGGTTTTATTCAGCCTTGCCGTTATGCGGAGTGGCTGGCTAATATTGTGCCAGTGGTCAAGAAAAATGGTAAGATTAGGATATGCATCGACTTCAGGGATTTGAATCTAGCTACCCCTAAGGACGAATATGTGATGCCTATGGCCGACATGTTGATAGATGCAGCAACAGGGCATAAAATCCTTAGTCTGATGGATGGTTATGCAGGTTATAACCAAATATTCTTGGCAGAAGAAGACATTCCTAAGACAGCATTCAGGTGCCCGGGGGCTTTAGGTATTTATGAATGGACAGTTATGCCATTCGGGTTAAAGAATGCAGGGGCAACTTACCAAAGAGCCATGAATTCAATCTTTCATGATTTAATTGGCAGATCTATGGAAGTGTATATTGATGATGTTATTGTTAAATCTGCCAGTTTTGATGAACATTTGAGAAATCTTGAAGAGGCATTTGAAAGAATGAAGAAGTACAATTTGAAGATGAATCCAACCAAATGTGCTTTTGGAATATCAGCCGGGAGCTTTTTAGGATTTTTAGTTCATGAGAGAGGAATTGAAATCGATGCCAACAAGGCTAAAGCCATTCTTGATAGTCGGCCACCCAAGACGGTTAAAGAAATCCAAAGTCTTTTGGGTAAGGTGAACTATTTGAGGCGTTTCATTTCTAATGCTGCTGGCAAGGTCAGACCCATCACTAAATTGTTGAAAGCTGGAAAAAATGCTTTTGAATGGGGT